TTTTTTAAAAAAAAATTACAAAAATTATATACTTAATTTAAAAAATTTTAAACAATAATAACATTGATTAGTAAAGAAAAGTTATTAGATTCTTAATTAAAAATTTTTAAAAAATAATATATTTTTTTGTATGAAATATATATTTTGCTGTTATTTCTTCGAACTAGCTTGGAGAATTTTAGTTTTAGAGAGGAAGAAGAAAACGCTACAAACAACACTCGTCTATAAAGTGGTCATTGGATTGAATAGAAATTAAAACTTAATAATATATTTAGGTTGAGTTAATGACCTAAATAATCTACTAATTATCTCTTTTTGATAAAAATAAGAGATTTTGAATTTAACTTGCATAGTATGCGGGTGAAGTGAAATAAGGAATGAAAGATAATTGTCTTGTATTATACAAATCAAGATTAGGTTGAGGGAAGAGAAAAAAAAAATCCCTTTTTAACCATGAAAAAATCAAAGGGGAGAGCAAATAGAAATGAAGATAAATAAAACAAATGTAATTCTTTTTTTTTTCTCCCTTTTTTTTCCCTTTATTCCTTTGGATCTAAATGTAAGATAACAACACAAAACCTAGCAAGTTCAAATGCTGATTGGTTTACAGTACCCAATCACGTTTTCATTCAATGGTTTATGGGTTTGTTGATGTGCAGTCTCCCCATCAAACCAGAAGTTCCAAGATCATTGGCTTTTGACCAATCAATTTTGGTGGCATGACAAGCAACCAAAGCACTTGACCGTGTTAGATCATGACCCATTCACTTCACAGCCATTTGAAATCGCACCGACAGGAAAAAAACAACAGAAAGTAATAGAAACCAGCCAATTGGGATTCTATTTCTGGGAATTACTTTCATGTGGCATTTTCCATTCCCTTTTTTCTGGGTGAAGGAATTCAATCCATCGGAATCATTCCCTTCAGAGCACAGATATCTGTCATTTTTCATGCATTCGGATGCCCCATCATTTTCCGCAAACTAGTTGGCAGAAGGGAACTTCATCACCAAACCATATGCACCAACATGTCAAACGACTAATGTTGTTCGTCGTTTCATTTTCAGACATGGTTATCGTTCATATTTACAAATAAATATTAAAGTTACATAAAAATATTATGAATTATTACTTGTTCGTCTTACCTTCAAAAAAATTATAAAAAAAAATAATTTAAAAATAAGGCCGTTTAAAAAAAAAAAAAAAAAAAAGAAAAAAAACACATTAATTCATGCTTTACAAATAGAATATTTAATCTTTTCTAATAAGCATTTATTAAAATAATATAATTTTGAAATAATATTCCTCTTGATTTAATTAATTGCTAAAAATAATTGATATTTTGATAGCATCAATACCTAGAAGATTAATTATCTGCCATTAATACCTAGAAGATTTTTAATACTAATTCTTAAAATAGAAACAAATATATGCTGCATTTGACATCCTTCAAAAACCCTTGAAAAAATTAAATTAATGACGTTTGCTTACATTAAGTTAGAGTTCCTTTGTTTCAAAGCAAAAACGTAGAGGACTGTGGTACGGTAAAATGAAGGAGGAACTACCATAACTGCTTTCTCCAATAAGCTACGGCCTAAATGCTAATTGGCCCATGTTCAGTAATTTCTTTGTTCTAGAAACTTACTTTGGTGCCTATGCACGCTAATTGAATTTCATTAAATTGTACTGACTTTGATCAAATCAAGAAATTGAAATGATATCTAAAATCATTTCACTATTACTTCTAAGGGTTGAATATACTAGTGAATGAACGTCATTTTTTTATTAGATATAAAATTCAAATCTTGAAGTTAGTTGTAAGAAAATTAATTTCTTTTAATACATCAAATTAATGTGAAAAATATACTCTTTAAATCATCCAAAGAAAAATTAACTTCAAGATATATAAAAATTAATTTCAAAAAATTCTAATTATAAATACCACAAAGAAATTCATTTACACCATGAACGTAACTAAAAAAAGAGCCTAAAGGTTGCTCGGATGGAAAACTTTCTCCTTATAAACTTTTATAAACTTCTCCTCTTATAAAGTTACTTATATATTTTTATATATTAACACTACAATAAAAATAATAAAAGTGATATTTTTAATATTTTTTTTCCTTACACAATTTATAATTTATAAATTTTTTTCCCCA